ACCAGGCTGGCTATAAATACTTGGTGAGATCTCAGTCTTCTGGTGAGCAATAGGTCACTTAGATTTAAGCTGAAGGTCCAGTTTCATGCTTTCCAACATATTTTCTGCTTCCAGGTTTTTAATACCAGCTTTATGGACAGAATATCTGAACCTCGTCTCTCTTGTTATGCTTACGTATTGTATTGCGGCTGCCTCTCCCTCCATAGCAGCCCTTGTGCATAATTGCCCCATCACTCATCCAACTCAAGTCCCTATTCTGTTCAAGCCCAGTCCTGTTCCCATGCAAAACAGTCCAATTCCACTCTCAGATGGAACCAGAATGTTCATATCAAGGAAGAATAACTTTTACGTTGCAGGTATTTAATACCGACCATCCACACACACCCACTCCTTCAATAATAAGGACGACCCCTGGGGCTGGAAGGAGGCAAGATCTACTGCCTGGCCTGTCTTCTTAGAGACAACAGTCCGCAGATGAATGCTGCCATGGAGAACATCTGTTCCTAGGAACTAGCTACCTGATTTGCCTATCCCCTGAAGGAGGACACATCAGGAAGGACTTCTGGAAATGACCTGACATTTGGGCAAAGGCTAGCGTGACCTTGCACTTCCTGTGGCCCCACCATTAGCCCAGCACTTGCAACCTCACCGTTGATTTTCTTATTTTACAAAGGCCCAGGAAGGTGGCAGCAGAGAAGAATGCCAGCCTAAGAGCCCTGCACATCCTGGAGCTGGCCCTGAGTATTCTGCACGGGGGAAGCAAGCCCTCCTGCACTGCTGGCCTGTCATCTTAACTGAGCGTGTTTGGTAAATGAGTGGCAGAGACCATATGCCTTTATGGTGGAAGCTGATCCAGGGCTGCATCCAATTCCTCAGGAGTCCGATGTGCTATAAAGATAAAATACAGCCGGCAAAGGCATTGAAGGCTCATCAAACATGCCAAGTTTTAGCTGGCTCTGGAGCTGTCGGATGAGGAATAACTAATTAGCAGCTGAGTTTACTTTAATTTCCTGCTGCTGCCAACGTTTAAGTCAATAAAAGCGAGAAATCTTTGAATGCAACATGGTTGCAGTAAGAGCTGTAAATAAAGCCGCAGCTTGAAAAATCCCCAAATGAGCAGGCAGTGAAAGGTCCCCTGCCCCCCCCCCTCCCCATGAGAGAGTTCCTTGGCTGCCGCTGGACCTCTGAGCAGACTCCTGAAACCCCAGAAAGGGAGGGGTTGTTCTCATGGCTAGGGCAGCGGGGAGAGAAGGCAGAGGGAGAACATTTTCTATTCCACGGGAGGAGCTGTGGATTCAGGGGCTTCAATCTAGACCCCAACTCTTTGAAAGGAGCCCTTGTTCTTGGTTCGATTCTGGACATGAAGGCTGCAGCTGATTCTGCCATTGTTTCAGAACCGAGTGTCCTACGGGGAGTCTTGCAATGGGAGGGGTCTTCACTACACATAAAGTCCCTTCTGTTAGTTGCACTCTGGTTCACTCCATGTGATTCAGCATTTGGAGGATACGAATTTAACTACAGCTCTTTAATACTTCCCTACAATTAGGTTGTTTGGGGGCAACAGGACAGCTCCCCAAAATATCTGGGTGTGATTTCTGGTTTGTATCGTTGTTCCCTCTCTACATATGTCTGTGTTGGGGGGGAATTGTCTGCTGCGGTAGCTATCTAGTTGTGTATTGTTTCAGCTTTTATTTCTTATTCTGGATGTGCTCATTTATACAAATCAAGATGATAGACCCAAACTCCAAGATAAAGCATTTATTTACTGTGCAGAAAACCCGTTGTTCAGTCTACCACATTTTTTGCTTAAAATATCAGGAAGCTGTCTTCTGAGATGGAATTTGGGCAGGTTCTGGCTGATATTAGAGCACATACAGCCTATTATTTTGACTTGACCGTTAGGGCAGATGGAAGGAAGAAAAAGCAATGGAGTAAGGTCTATCTTCAAAAGTTTTATGGCACTGGTTTAGTTGCAATCTGCAGCAAAGTGCCTTGCAAGACAGTGCTGGAACTTACAGCTCCAGGTGATCTTTTTTTCTCTTTTTACCTGTATGCAAGAAAATTCAACAAATTCTCCATTTCCCCAAATAGGTGAGGGGTCAGAGATTGCTTATGGGAAAGAGAGGTTTCTCCCATTTTCACATCTGTTTTGCAGAGCAGGCATTTTTTCCCAATGCAAAATGGCAACATCCTTTTCTTTATGGGGGATTTTCTCTCACTCTCAGTTTCTCGTTCAGTTTCCCTCCTGCCTGTATATTCCCCCCCCCCGTCCCCCTTCAGTTGGGTATATGTGGAGGGGGATCGCATAGAATGATGGCGGAGAGAAAGTGGGGATCCTGTGCCTGCACACATCCCCATCCCAGCCATTTTACACCCATTACCCATCTCTGCCCACACACGCACCCCAGAGGTTTTGGGTTGCCCCTGCAGCCTTTTGCGGGCTCGACGTGATAGAAGGGCTCGGAGCAGAGTATATCAGACAGAGGCAGAGTAGATTTATGTTAGTGGGCAAAACCTCCAAGTCAGAGGATGCCACAGATGCCTCCGATCCATACCTCTCAATGGCGAAGAAAGCACCAACCTACCTGCCTGGCTGCATGGCCACAGCACCACCTCGTGGTCAGAATGGCAGGTGGCAGGCAAACCAGCAGCCGTGTTGTTTTCTCTGTGAGGAAAAGATGATGGCAGCCCACCCAGCGCCATAGCGCACCATGTTTAAGAGCTAAGGCGGCTTCATCCACATCACGGCTACTACGGGTCCTTCTCCTCCATTCCATCCCCATCTTCAAAATCCCTTTTATATGTAACGGGTGCTGGGAGAGGCAGGACGTACCAGCCCTGAGAGCCCTTGTCACACTCCAGGGATTTCCAGAGTGGGTCTTCGAAGCACTGCCTTGGCGCAGTCTCTCCAAGGAGTGGCTGTGAGGAGCAACAGTCCCATCTCCTCAGGCCCCACCCTCACCAGTGCAACATTCAGCCGTTAAGCTGCTGGCACAAGCCGCTATCGGCCTTATCCCTCCTGTGTTGTCTTGATGAACTGCGTATATGCTTGCATTTAAATACTTTCTGGGGTGTCCTGCATGAAATGCATGATGTATTGGTCTTTGGAAAGTTAATTCTCTCTTCTTTTTTTTTTTCTTATTTGGAAAAACTATTTCAGGCTGTCATGTTTTAAAACCCATGAGAGCACTTTCTACTTCATCTGATCAGGAAGATCAGGGGCTGGAAACCCAGCCATATGAAAACAGCATAAAGAAGCTGGGCATGTTTAACTTGCAGAAGAGAAGATTAAGGAGTGGTACAATAGTGGTCTATAAATATCTAAAGGCTGTCACATGCAAAAGAGAAATTTATTCTCTGTTGAAACGTAGAGCAGAACGAGAACCAATGAATTGAAATTAAAAGCAAGGAGACTTAAGCTGAGTATCAGGAGGAGTTTTCTGAATATAAAAGCTAGTCTAGAGGACTAGTCTGCCTAGAAACCCCCTCGCCACAAGTTTTTAAAGGGGGCAGGATAGGCACCTGCTGAGATGATCCAGGGGATGTGGTGAAGGTGCTGACCTAGAAACCAGGAGACAGTCAGTTCTGGGGCTCCCTTAGCATGAAAGCCGGCTGGGTGACTTTGGGCCAGTCGCTCTCTCTCTGCCCAACCCACCTCGCAGGGCTGTTGTTGAGGGGAAAATAGGAGGAGGAAGGAATATTAGGTATGTTCATTGCCTTCAGTTACATATATTTTTAAAAAGTGGGATAAAAATCTAATAATTTTAGGTTTCACACACATGCTTTTAAAAATACATAAATTGTTCTTGAAGACAGGAATATACAGAAGGGTCCTTGGTAGCCCCACAAAACACTTCCAACTCTAACACTTCGTGTATTCTCAAATTGTAGCTGCTGGTGTAGGATCTCAGTGACTTTCTGGCTTGAAAATCCCACTAACCCTGAAATTACTATTTAATCCACATAAATTGTTCCCACTAACCTTACTTATACCTTCTGCTAAGTGTGTTGCTGATCTTCCTCATAAATTTTCTTTTTTGAATAACATTCGTCCCCTGTTTCGGAGTTCACAGGTTCTCTTTGAATTTGATGATGTGAAACATGCCAAAGTATAGCTTTTCTCGATGAGGCTGTCATTTAATTTCGTTGGTTAAATCACATAGGGCACAGTATGTTCTCAACCGTTTTACAGCCAAACTAACTAGTAATTATATCTGGAATTTTAAACACATTTCAGGTGATGGAGTGTGGCATTTTTCCAGATCTATATTCTTGCTCCATTGGAGTCTCTTTCTCTCTTCCTTTCTTGCAGTTCCATTTCAGATCTTTGAGGAAGATGCAGAGTTAACAGAAGTGGGAGCAGGGAATTGAAGGTAGAACATTCCGGGGCAATGGAGCAATACTGGAAATGATTCATGCTACTGGAGGTTGAGGCAATGGGAAAACTGACCCAAACAAACAAATCCAGGAAATTGGCACATGGTGAAGGCCTATTTCAGAGGGCAAAATTGGGGTGCCCTTCAGGAGTGGCTCATATTTGCCACCCTGGGTCATCTCCAGCTCCTGTGCAGAATCCACTAGTCCATCTCCTCCTCTTCCTTGCAACATCCGGCATGGTGTGGCGATCAGTGACCTTCTATGTATTGTTGAACTACAGCTTCCACCATCCAGCACCATGGAAGGTGTTGGCTGGAGCTGATAGAATGTGAATTTATCAACATCTGGAGGGCCACCATTGCTTAGCTCTGGTGATGGGGTGTTATCACTGTACTGTACACTGCCTCACTTTTCTGCACATCGTTGGCCAGCAACATAACTCAGTGCATAGAAGAGGGGAAGAAAACTTTGACACCTTGTGTTTTTTATAACTCTTTGTTACCCACAGGTTTCTTAGAAGGGTAAAATCTGCCTGTGTCTCTCGCAAGCCTCTCTAATGCTGATCCTGGGATGAAGTTGCTAGGAAGATATTAATGGATGCTGTTCTGTGTCTTCTCTTGCAGAGCTCCTGTGAGACCCTGGGCCATCACTCCGAGGGCACCTACCCCACAGGCCTCCTGCCTAACCACCATCATCGCCACCACTACTCACCCCAGGGGGTCTTTGAAGACTTTGCTTGCTAGTCCGACTCGTGCACCCACTCCCACCTATGGGAGAAGGGCTGCTAGAATGGCTTTGGGTGCAGCACATTCCACCCGTGCTAATGGCCCTTGCTAGTCCCAAGCCAGACCAACCTATGTTCTCCCACTTCCTAAGGCTTTCCGAAAGCATCTTACGCTTCTCGCCCCCCCCCTCCATCCTCTCTAACCCCCAGCCCTTCTCTAAGAATCAGTGCCCCCATACTGAAGCACAGAGAGAGGCTCAGCTGCCAAGGTCAGGGAGGCCTCTGAGCAGCTCCACTGATCAGAAATAAGCTTTGGGGGCAGTCAGCACTAAGCCTCAAAATGGGAGGAAGGGCACTGGGGAACGTGGAGCATGCTGGGGAGTAAAGATGCCTTTTCAAGAAAGCAGCAAAACTATTCGAGGCGCAGTTGGATGGTGCAACACTGACCAACTAATTGTTCACAAGCCTCTGTGGCTGAACCTCCTTTGGCTGCAAACTCCACTTGGGGGGATACGTGTTCTTTGCAGCCTCTCTCACTTTATACTACCTTTCTGTCCAGCATTCGTATTCCTGTTTTTGCACCCATCCACCCACCCCTTTGCCCACATCCAGACCATTCAAACATGTATTACCCCAGTCAAGATATCACATGCACCCAGAGGTGTCTCAGGGCAGAAATCGGGTTCTCTGTCTCAGTATCTACTGTTTGGCAGTGCCATGTACCTGTCGCTCACGTATTGCTGCCCACACTTGGACTGTGTCCATAACAGGGTTCAAGATCACAAATCCTGCTCTTTCAAGGGAGATCCAGGCTATTTGCCTTTACTGTACAGACTCTGGCCTGTTACCTCACCCCACCTTTCATCTTTCTTCCCTTCCTCTTTCACAGCTGTAAATGTGTACATAACTGTTTGGGGCCAATGGTTTTTAGCCACCCAGTCTGCCATTGTTGCAGCTGCCCCCTGCTGGTGCCTCCAAAAACTGCTGGTGCGGCTAGGCACCCTAAGACATCAAAGCTCAGGTTCCCTCCTGGCCCAGGCAGAGACAGGGAGGGACAGCAGGAGGTGGCTGGAGCAAGAACGCCTGCGTCTCCTCCCTTCCCAGATGTACAGACTTCTCGCCACATCACCTGTTCCATCTGTCCCCTTTCTCCAAAAGCATTCAGGGTCCAAGCAACAACAACAACAACAACACACACACAAATCCCTGGAAGAAGAAGCTCCGAGGGCCCCGTGTAATACAGTGAGGAGGTTAGGAGCTCCCACATCCCCAGTGATGCCAGTCCATGGGCTGAAGCGCACAGGCTGTTGATATATGGGGGTGTGGGATGGCTTCTCTTCCAAAAGTGTTGGAGAGGGTTGTTGCAAATCCTTGCTTAAAGTTACAGCAGATCAACCAAACCACCCAGTCACTATCTGGGGCAAAGGAATATTCCACATACCCAGCCATGGCTCTCAGATCCCAAGCAGCAAACCAGGAAGATCCTCGCTTGCACTGTCCTAAAACTCTTGTGTGGTAACATGCCCCTCGCCTAGTCAAGTGCCCCCATACTAAGGAGGCATTTTCAGAAAGAAAGGAGGCGCTTGCACAAGAGTATGCTGGAAATGTTGCTCCTCTTTCTCCCATCCCTAGTGAGCACCAAGTGCTGAGGCATTTGACTGCTATAGAGGGGGTAGAATCCTGAAGATAAAGTCCAACCCGCCCGCCTGCTGGAGATGTGCATAATTCTGAAGAGGGGAACAGCCTTTGGGTGGTGTGGGGTTTTGACTGCCGACCAGCCTTGGATCTTCCTGGAAGAAATCTCTCCTCCCATAATTTTACTGAGCGCAAGTCGCTGTTTTACAAATGTATAAATTTCTCCCAATAAAGAGGCACAGGTAGAACTCCAGATGTGTCTGTTGTGGCATCTTCAGCTAATCTACTTAACTAAGGTCAGGAACGCTATCTTTTGGAATTTCTCCCCCTTCTCCTTCTTTTGGAATTTCTTTCCCTGCAAAGCTCTCTTACCATTAAAACAGACACCATTTGTATCCCCAGATTGATCTGCTCTAACGTGAGAGATGGTTTGGAAAGCATAATTAAGGGCTGACCTTATTAATAACTGCCTGGTACAGCTTACTTGTTGGTACAGGCAACTCAAGTTGCCACAGCACTTTGAACAGAACTTCAGCTTCAGGTTTTGTTCTGGACAAAATATAGCAAACAGGAATATGGTGGATGAAAGGTCTTCACCTTCACTATGGAGTAATCAAGCTGCAGATAACACATCTAGATTTATGGAGTAAAACTTTCTGATCAAAGGGTTCTGTTTTCAGGCTTGACCCCCAATAATTTTCATTTTCAGAATCTTGCAACAATTTTATACTCCCTTGGAGTTTATCTCCAGCCCAAACATACCTGTTTTGTATTATTCTACTAGTCCATACAGATTCCTGAAAAAACAAAAACAACTTCATTCAGAGATTTCTAGCCTTCCTTTACAAAGATACAACCCTTGCTCCCCAGGGTTTCCTACCAAAAAAAATTTACATATTTATTTAAAAACTGCACTGTACAGTTGTCTGGGACTTTCTTCAACTATCTGGGCCACAGCAGAGGAAGATAATACATCATAAAGTATCTATTACCATAATGCCGTTTAGGCAGTTTCCTTTTTAAAACCAGTTTTAGATTGTCACCAGCAGAGGGCAGCAGGATTATTTCCTACACACCTACAAGCTGCAGGCTTAGCCAGGAGAAAGGCTGGAGGGAGCCCAGATCAGGTGTTTTGGGGTTTGCAACAGGGCTTGCAAAAAATGGGAAGTGGGAAGGCCAAGTGCAAAAAGGGGAAGCCCAAAGCTTACACAATCAACCTCAGATTGGCTGGAGCTCCTTTTAGCAGCTCCTCTTTGTCATAATAATAATAATTTGGAGCTCCTGCTTACCACTGCACTCTTAATATACTGTAGCTTGATTCTAAACTGTCACACTATAAGCAGAGCAGAGTTAGGAAAAAGTACCCACAGAACAAGTTGTTCCCAGTGGTGCAGGCAAAAAAGACAAGGCGTATGCTCTGAAGACACTCTTTTTGTCCCCCCTTTCTCCTATTTCTGTCTCTCTCTCTCTCTCTCTCTCACACACACACACACATATTGCAGACACCTCCCCTGAGAGGTAACATAGTCCATTTGAACCCCCGAGGTGAGGCTTCCAAATTGAAAACATTAAGTAAACAATGGGCTTGCTTTGAAAAAGCAGTAATTCCAGCCATTACTGCCTTTATCTCTATTTACAAAGGGAAATGAAGTGGCTAATTGGGGACAAGATAAAGCCAACATCCTTGTGATCCAAGGGGAACACAATTGGTCTGGGGTGGTTATGAACTGTGAACAAAGAGAGAACCTATGTTGGCTTGCATGGTTTTCAGTCACCACAGCCAGAAAGCAGCTGGTTTTTGTAAATTCGGTTTCTGTTTCTCCTAAAGTCCAAAACACTCATGGTTATTCAGTTCACACAGTTCAAATATTTTCAGACAAGGCTTTTCTTACACCCCGTGCTGCCTCAGCCACCCACTTTTAACAAGGGATGGGACTGTCTGCCACTGGACTCCCCCTCCAAGTTTCCCTACTGATTCTTCCATTTATTTTCTCCCCTGCAAGAATCTGAGTGAGGGAAAGGGAATCGCTGTGAAATGCCTTCTGCCAATAGCCTGAAGAGCTCTTTTCTGGAAGCACCCACTGTGGCCTACAAGCAGATGTTGCCACCTGGAGGGGTTGATATTTAAGATTCCCGTTCTCATTCCCACTTCCAGAATGTGCCGCTTCCATGTTCCATGCAGAAAGTGTTCATCCTCCCACCCCCAGCGATGAACATTGCCTGGCCACACCTAATCTCAGGTGGTTTGGGATTTATTTCCCCCTTGAGAAATCATTTTCTCTGCCTTGAAAATCTTCAGGTTCCTCCAAGCCTGCTAATACTTTTCCCTTGTGCACAGATTTTACTCTTTTAACCATCTAAGTTTGCTTGTTTATTTGAATGTATAAGTTCATTATGAGAGGTATGCTAAATGTTACACTATAGAAATCAGCTAGAGTGACATATTCTGCTAACTGCAGTGTTCTGCTCCCCCAACAAATGGTTGCAGGTGTTGATCAAAATCCCAGAAGTAATGCAATCGTAAGGCTTGGAGGGGAAGAAAGGTTGTCAAGTCCAAAGTGGTCCTAAACCAGAACGCTCTAGATTGCAGCAAATTCAGGAATGAACTGATTCAGGAATGCATTATTCTATAAGCAGGGTAGGAGCATTATCTAAATGAGGCAACAATAACTTCCAATGATCATTTGTGAACCCAGACCGTTTGGCAGAACAGTACCAGCCCCATTGCAGCCAGGTCTGCCATGCATATGCGGGCATGCATTCCTGCAAGAGCTGTGGGTTACCCCAATCCCTGGCCCCTTATTCTGCTGTCATAGGCGGGTTGAAGGAATGGGGCTGTTTTGGCCTGCTTGGGAGACTCTGCTCTTGTGCCATGCCCCTAGGGCAGTGTTTCTCAACCTTGGCAACTTTATGATGAGTGGACTTCAACTCATGGCTGGCTGGGGAATTCTGGGAGTTGAAGTCCACTCATCATAAAGTTGCCAACGTCGACAAACACTGCCCTAGGGCTGGGGAATTCTGGGAGTTGAAGTCCACTCATCATAAAGTTGCCAACGTCGACAAACACTGCCCTAGGGCTGGGGAATTCTGGGAGTTGAAGTCCACTCATCATAAAGTTGCCAACGTCGACAAACACTGCCCTAGGGCTGGGGAATTCTGGGAGTTGAAGTCCACTCATCTTAAAGTTGCCAAGGTTGAGAAACACTGCCCTAGGGAAAGGAAATACTCAGATGGTTTTCCCCCTTCCTTAAATTCTCTTTGTTGTCCCCCGTCTGTGTTCTGGCTGTCCTCTATTCATGCTACCCTTACCTGGTGCTGTTTCTCCCTATGCCCTGCCTGATAATGGTACAATCCCACCTGCTCCATCCCCCACTGAAAGTATGGACCCAGGCAGGTGCTGCCTGG